CAACCAAAAGATTGTGAGTTCGAGTCACCCCAAGAACAAGGTGAGGAGTTCTTGGAGGGAGGGAGCCGATGGTCTATCGGAAACAGCCTCTCTACCCCAGGGTAGGGTAAGGTCTGCGTACACCTACCCTTCCCAGATCCCACTAGTGGAATTATACTGGATTGTTGTTGTTGTTTTTGTATCTAACTGTCATAACTTGTTAAATAGTTAATGCTCACTTTTGTCAAATTTAAAGGACTTCCTTTTCAAAAATATACTTTGTGTTATGTTCTCCCAAATTCTATCACTGTACTTAATAGCAGTAACATCGGAAATTTACGCGTGTTAAATCTCCTTAATTTACTTCATGTATTTATTTCTTTGAATTTTGACAGTACCCCTCAGTTAGTTCCGCTACAACTCCCTCCGCTCACTTTTAGTATACTAAAAATAAATTTTTATTTTTACTTGTCACTTTACGCATATCAAGAGAAAATATTTTTTTTTTCTGTTTTATCCTTAATTCATTAACCAACATTTCTTGAATAAATAATGGTCAAATGTAGCTTTCCAATGCTCAATATTGGAATTCACAGAGAACTCTTCATTATCACCCTTCTTTAAACACAAAAGTTCACTAAAGTAATCTCTTATTCTCTTGTTCTTTGGAGTATTTTTTTCTTCATTTGGGAATTTGGGTTCAATTATTGAGTATTAATTATAGGGTTATTGTGGTAAAATTATCATGTCAATCATTGTTTCTTAAGGGACGTGAAAAGTCAAAACGTGTCGCGCAAAAGTGGACGGAGGGATTACTTCATACCCAGACAAGATCATTAAATCTACACCAGTTTCTGTTAAGAAAAAAAATCAAATACAATGAGTGGTCCAAACACATATCTTAAGGTACAAATGTACCCTTAATGCAGCCTTTACTAGTTATTCTATTTCTAACTTTAATACGGTACTTCTATTGCTTCTAGTGGAGTAAGTACTAATTTTGGACTTGTATATTAAGATTCCAAAACCAATTGGGACCTCAAGCATCTTGGACAAAGACATTACTGATTCATAGTAGGAAAGTTAGAAGATAAAGAGATAATGTCTTGGACAGAGACTATCTAGTTTTGTAGTACATATGATGTTTTTGGTTCACAAAACATGTCACAAATTCACTTTCCAACTGTCTCCGTTTATTATATCATTCCCTTATCTCCTTTCTTTCACCTTCACCTCCATCACACACTCACTTTACCAGTCACCATCAAACATTACAATTGAATTTTATCCTCATAACAAGGTTTACTTGTACATATTTTTATGACAACATACTATTTCCTCAACCTTATATTAGGTAAACCATGACTAAGAATGAGTAGTTCTAATACCATGTTATAAAAAGAAGGTTCCGTGATTGTATAATTCCCAAGCGAAAAATCGTATACTTTAAAAAGGTGAAAATTATTCGGACTACAGTAGTTCATCCAGTAACCAACATAGGACACTTCAACAATTGTAGTAAGACCTTTGAATGGCGGAAAATCAGTTGCAGAGAAAATGCACTGCAAATAACATATTTACACAAGAGACTGAAATGTGCAGTATAATTCACAAGTGGCGTATGGGAAGGATATAGTATTTCCCGTAGACATTAAAGAGAGACTGTTTCCGATACACACTCACCTCAAGGATTAGATATCTATCTATTATGAATCTTGAAACAACAAGCATTAAACAAGTACACCATCTTCTAACAATCTACATATTGCACAGTTACAAGAACTACAAATCACCCACTACAAATACACACCAACCAAAAAAAAAAGAAAGACTAATACCTAAATAAGAAGAATAAAGACAACACAACAGTCCAGTGAGGTAAGACTCCACAAATTTTCAGCTTCACTCTACACCATTTAGTGCTGGCTGTGGCTTGACCTTCCTATCTACTATGAATCTTGAAACAACAAGTATTAAACAAGTACTCACCCTTCTAACAATCAACATTACACAGCTACAAAACTACACGCAACTCACTACAAACACAACATCAACCAATAAAAAGAAGACTAATACTACAAAAAAAGGAGACATAACAGTCATAAGAGTCATCACCAACAACTAAGTCCAAATGAACCAAAGATTCCACAAATTCTCAGCTTCATCCTACACCATTCTGTGCTAGCTGTGGCTTAACCATCTAATCTACAGTGAATCTTGAAATAACAAGTACACTCTTCCAACAATCTACATTGCACAGCTACAGAAACTACACACAACTCACTACAAATACAACACCAACCAAGAAAAACTTAAGACATAACACAGTCATAAGAGTCATTACCATCAACAAAGTCCACAAATTTTCAGCTTCACTCTACACCATTTTGTGCTTGTTGTGGCATAACTTTCCTAGGCCTACCTCTAGGCCTTCCAGTTTTAGAAACAGGATTAGCTAAGTTACTAGGGACAATTGTTGGTTTAAGTTTCTTGGGAGTAGGTGGTGCATTAGGATCTTTTTTTGGACGACCTCTTGGCTTTGGAGCTGCAATTTCTGTATCTTGTGGCAATGCAGTTTTAGGCTTTGGTGGTCTTCCACGGCCACGCTTAGGAGGTACATTTGGACCAGGCTTAATGTAATTGTTTTTGAGGAAAATAAGTTCACCAGTTTGTTTCATTCTATCCAAATGGTAAGTTAGCAACTTTGAGTGTGTATCATTCAAGATTCCATACTTGGACTCAATGTACTTTGATATTGATGACTTGTTTGAGCCTTCTTTTTGTTGTAGTGCATCAAGTGCTTCATAAATCATCTGATAATAAGAAACAAAACCCCCAAAAAAAGTTTTAATTTTTTAAATAAATACTACTCCAAATAATTTAGAAAAAAAGACATGCAGATCTGTGTTTAAAAAGCATTCTTGATGATCATGTGTTCATGTGGAAGCCATTAAAGCAGTTTTTTTCAAAAGCAGTAAAAAGCAAAACTTAAGAGCTAGACTAAAGTGGTTCCTACAATTTGAAAAGCAAAAGATTTAAAGAAAAAATGTAGAAATTAAGTGAATTACCCATATTTACTGCATAAAAGTTACAGTTTTGTTTAAAGAAAAAAAAATTGCTTCTTCCTTTTTTCTTTTCCCAAGTTCTTAAAGATTAAATCTTTCTTCTAAAACCAAGAAAAAAACTAAAGTTTCTCCAAGACATGCATGTTTATTCTAAAACTAAGAAAGAAAACATGTGAAATAAGATATAAAAAGATCAAATTTTGCTTAAAAACCACAGAAGACAACTGAACTACCCAGACATAACATTACAAAGAGTGTATTAAACAGAAAAAGTTTTTTTTTTCCTTCAAATTCTCCAAAGTTTTAATCTTTCTGAAATATGTGAAAAAGGGTCAAAATTTTGAGAAAAGATAGAACAGTAAAATATGATTTGGTAACAAAAAAACAAGAAAATGAAGGCTGGAAATGAAAGGAAAAAGAAGGGGTCAAAGTTGAATTATGGAAAGTTGCTAGTTTAGTTTACCTCAGGGTATTCAAGATGTGTTTGAGTCTTGTTGACAAGTTCAGTAGCCATTGAAACTTGCAAGAGAGAGAGAGAGAGAGAGAGAGAGAGTTTTAAGATGTCCCCACAAAGAGATGGAGAGAGAGAGAGAGGAGAGTGTCAGCTTCAAAAGCACAGTATTATAATTTTGTGAATAGAGAGCTTATCCACAAAGAAATAAAAACAATAAAGCAGGAAAAAGAATATTAAGGAGAAGAGAGGCTTAAGATTCAGGTATAGGACCAAAAATCCAACGGTTATAAATCTTTATTAGAAGGTGTCACAAGGATAGATGACTTGGACCTTCTTTGTCTTTGTATCATTGAATTTTGTTGGTTCTGCTGACTTTTTGTCTGTCATAAGAGTTAGTATTATGAATTGTAATAGCCCATTTTTATACTGCATGAGCTCAATTTTATTTTTTGGGATCCTTAAAGCAAGTAGCCGGGTCCATAACCTAGGACATTGTGAATGCCGAAAATTAGTATAGAGAGCGTATCTCTTTTTTATTCCTGTACTTTCTCATACTTCGATTCTAGTTATTTCTTTTACTTTAGTTACCTTATTATGTTGTATTTCCTTTAATGATGTTGTAACTATATTTTTATTGAGCCGAAAGTTTATTAGAAATAATCTTTTAATTTTATACACTACCCTTCCATATCCCATTTATGAAATTACACTGCATTTATTAATATTAATTCAAGGTTCATTTTTCCATCTGGTATATATAAATTATACACAATTATACATGAATATATATATATATATATATATATAATTAAACTATACCAGTTAAAAAAGATAAAATATGAATCTATCTGGCTATTTCTGTAAAGATCACAATTCCAAATTACTTTTCTAGCCTATTCCAGCAAAACTCAAGCTCTCTATAGCCCACCAGCAGCCCGTCAGAATCCTTTTCTTTCTCTTCCTAATTCTTTTGCAAAAGAAATGAATTTGTTTTTTTGAAGGATTANCCTATATATATATATATATATATATATAGTTGGGCTAGTTCGATCGAAGCGAGCAAGAGATAAAAGAATCCTATATATATATATATATAATTGGGTGAACAGTTATTTAGGTTATTTCTTCAACATCCGGTTCCCAAAGCCAATTGGTCTAATCTAATCTCGATTTGTCTGTTGTACAAAGCCTATTGTCGAGGTTTTAGCGCCCCACACTGAAGAAGAATTTCATAACAGTGGTCAAACTCAAATATCCGGTTAACGGTGAAGGAGTCTCTACTACTCTAACACGCCCTTCATTGGTGCATGAAGTCAGTTTACTCAGATTTTCTCTAGTGGTAGAGTACCTTCAATGGTGCATGACACTTTCATTATAAATGCATCCAAAATTAAATTAACAATGTTGCTTAAAAGATCATCAAAGAGCATATAGAAGTGTACATGTAAAAAGAAAAGATTTAGTTACAGAATGATATTGGTCAATAAACTTTGTGTTAGAATGATCTAGTGGTGTGCATTATGTCACTTTGGAAAGTAAACTTAACACCTTCTGATTTTTATTCACAATTTGACCACTAAAATAACTTTGAACTTTTTGTTTATCCGAAAAATAGATAACAATTGAATTTATACGCGGTTCTAAAGATACGTAGTATAACTTCGTACAAACTGAGAAAATATATAAATGAATATCGAAATTAATTGTAAAAGGAATGAATGCAAACCGAATGAATTGATTAGCCTAGGCCCTCAAGTTTGGTCACCCCAAACTGAATGGAGAATAACTGATACAAGAACAAAATGACTGAAAATCAAAACCAGAAGAAAGGCTGTATATTGCTTATATTCTATGAATCTGAATCCCGCTTACAAATAATCAGACCCCCCTTATATAGTAGGAAAGTCCTGTATAATTTCCAAATACAATAAGGAACCCCATGATAAATTAATTAATTGGCATCTCCTTGATATGCGCCGGGATTTCCGCTGAGATTCTCGCCCAATTGCGAAAATTTCGGTTTTTTATTTTTTGGCTCGATAAGATCTCCTCAATTTTGGCCGATCTCGATCTTGATCTTGGACGATCTCGATCTTGATCGGTCTCTGGATCACGAGCTCGGCGATCCAACTTCGCATTATGGCTCGATTCTACACGAGGACGAACCTTGGTCTATCATGTTCCAATCTCGATTAGTCATACGAAAGGTAAACTCGGTTTTGACCGTATACAGATAGTCCCCTCGTTTCTCGGAAAGTAGATGACGAGAAACGATATGAATTTCTGAACTCCGACTTGGTGGGTGACGACCTTAGCGAGGAGCCCGAGTATGACGTATGTGACAAACGTCCCGTTAGTCCAGTTACCAAGGCATTAAATGCATGTCAGTCATTGATCGACCACTACTAGTTCTGAACCGTCATTACCAAGCTATAAGTATTCAAACTTTCATACTCATTCAAACTTTTCACTCAAAACTTCTTCTCTACTCTTACATTTTCTTCAGAAAATCTCCCTGCTTCATAAATTTCACACCGCATACAATCCTAATTCTCTTTTTCCTTGTTTATCAATGGCGAAAACCTCCAAAACAGTGCCGCAAAAAGAGGCCGCTTCTTCATCACGACCCGCCGGTGCTGAGGATGCGGCAGAGCCTCACCCTGAGGAATTCGTTCCGGTAGGTTGCTCAACCGTCGTTGATTTTAAGGTAGAAAAATCCTCTTCAGTATCGGGTCAATGTGAGCCGTTATCGAGGTGCCAATGCACAATCACTGAGAAAATCCCCGACAAAGTAAAAAAGGAATGCAACTGGGGAGAAAAACACGTGGTAGTCCTATCGCCTGAAGAATTGATTACTACCCACGTGGTGGGGTTCTTAAGTATTTATACTTATCCCTTCATGTTGGGTCCCTTAGACCCCGTCATCATCACCTTTTGCAAGAGGTACGACGTGACCCTCGGCCAAATCTATCCTTTATTTTGGAGAATAGTGATTCTCCTCCGATTCTTCTCGAGCAAAATCGAGGGGTGTTCTTTCACCCTCGATCACCTTATGCGCCTTTACCGTCCCCGACTATATCGAGGAAGGCTAATCAAACTTGCTCGCCGAGCCACCAAAGCCCCGTTCTCGAGTATAGACGAAACTAGTGACCGAGGTTAGATGGGCCGTTTTGTTCGAATCAGAACTTCGGACCTAATCCCCTCTGATGACATGTCGTTTCCTGAGAAATGGAATATGAACCGTGAGTAGTATTCCCCTTTGAACGTTTAATTTTGTGGCTCTGCTTTTCATTCTCTTTATCTACTTTTCCTATATTTGTTACAGCTGTGGCCCAAATGCTAGAACCGATTCCGGAGCTTAAATAATGGGTTGAAGGTGTGGTGCTGCAGAGACCGTACTACGAGCGTGCTTGGATGGAATTATCAAAGGGTCGATGAGATGCCTGCAATCATGGTAAGTTTCTTTCTTAGAACAGTTATGTCACAACCCAATTTCCCTTCCATCCATATGACGTCGTGATGGCACCTAGTCTCTACGACTAGGTAAGCCTAACATTTGCAGAATATTGAAATGAAAACATAAATTTAACAAATAACTCCTCAATATACTACACAGCATTCCCAAAACCCGGAACATCGTGAATCACAAACTACAAGAGGAAAGTTTAGTGTCTCTGTACATCAGAGTCTATTAAAAGAAAATACATAAGATAATGGACATGGGGAGGAGTAGAAGGGGACTCCAAGGTCTGCAGACACGACAGATATACCTTGAAGTCTCCAAAGCTGTCCCGACTCACTGATAGTGCGACTGACAAGGAGTACCTGGATATGCACACAAAAATAATATGCAGAAGAGTAGCATGAGTACACCACAATCGGTACCCAGTAAGTGCCAAGCCTAACCTCGGTTGAGTAGTGACGAGGTCAGGCCAGGGCCCTACTGATATATATAAAATAACACAAGATAAAATGAAATACCACAATAAAATAAAGATTGAAATTTAACCAGAATGAAATTATAGAAGACAAAAGCTCAGTACACAGAGATAACAATAGGGGATTTCCCGAGATACCGTCTCTTAGCCCCAAAGTAAATATGCAGAACAGGGGAATCTCCCGGAATACCGTTCTGTAGTCCCAAAGTAAATATGCAGTAAAGAGGGATCTCATGGAATACCGTTCCGTAGTCCCAAAGTAAATATGCAGTACATGGGGATCTCCCGGAATACCGTTCCATAATCCCAAAGTAAATATGCAGCCAAACAATAGAATTCAATAGTTACGGCACGAAATTCTACTGTTCTACCTAAGTACCAGTTAAGGAAAGATAGGTAAATTCACTAAACATGCTGCACGTAGTTCAAGTAAATAGTTAAGGTAAGTAGGCATGCTATTCTAGTCTAGCCGGATACCACACATGCTCATGGAACTCAAATAAGAAGGAAATCAGGTTATTACTTAGTAGAAAAATCGGGGTTTTACACAATTAGCCCGTGTACATACTAGTCACCTTACGTACACGACGCTCATATATAAAAAATAGTACAAATCCTACGTGGAGTTTCCCTCCCCCCCATAAAGTTAGGCAAGCCACTTACTTCGAACCAAGCTCAATCAATCGGTAAGAATGCCTTTTCCACGAATATCCGATTCTGAATTGCTCGAATCAAGCCAAAATAATTCGATACAGTCAACAAAAATTATAGGAATCAATTTCATAAGAAAATACTTCATTTTCAATAAAAATCCAAAATTAACTCAAAAATTGCCCGTGGGGCCCACGTCTCGGAATCCAGCAAAACTCACAAAATCCGACAACCCATTCAATTATGAGTCCAACAACCATACCAGTTTCACTTAAATCCGACTCCGAATCGATACAGAAATCTCAAAAATTCATTTCTATGAGATTTCTAAAATTTTCGCAAATTTCTCTCTCAATACACTAATTAAATGGTGAAAACAATGATATATTCATGTATATTGACCAAATCCGAGTTAGAATCACTTACCCAAATATTTTTCCTTGAAAATCTATCGAAAATCGCCTCTCCTCAAGGTTCAATTCGTCAAAAATGGCACAGGGGACAAAGTCCCTTGTTTTATAATTCTGTCCAGGTAGCCCTCTGTCCTGCCTCAATTCTGGGCATCGATCAAGGCTTCGATCCTGGCCCTCGATCCTTGGCCTTGAT